TAATAATATATCTAATTGAATATTTTACAATAAGAAGTCTTTTTGAAATATAATTATTAAATACTAAAATAGTTTTTGTAGTAGTACAATACAATGTCATTAATAGTTACAGTTATAGGGCAGCATCAGATAATGTTTGTCAAACTAAGCCTAAATCAAGCCACATTTGAGTCTGAGGATTTTTACGGCTAAAAACAAAGTTTACGGACTAATGTACAACAATGTGATAAATTCAGGAGCTTTCAGACATTACAACTACCGTTCCGTTCCCTCGTAATCAGACTTTCAGGTAAATTACCGCCACGTGTACTTACTTTCTCCTCACACCCTACTCTTATAAAATGGAAACCTCTGGCTCAGTTTCTCGCTATTTTCTTCTCGACGAAGAACGAAGATGGGCAAATCAGTTCCCCTGTCTCTGCTTTTCTTTGTTCTCCTGTTCCAATCGTCTTCCTTCGCTACCTCCATCCTCGGTGACCATCATCTCGAACTCAGTAGATCCAGTTTTCCATCCATCCACGCGGAGAAGTTGATCAGGGAGCTCAATTTGTTTCCCAAGGAGGATCTCAATATCATCGATGCAAGTCAGGCGTCGCCGGAGGGTCAAAGGATAGTCGAGAAGAGGTTGAGGTTCCCGAATCTTGTAGGATCTGGTGGGGTTTCCATTGACGACTTAGGGCACCATGCTGGCTACTACAAGCTTTCGCACTCACATGATGCTAGGTAATTTTTTTGAAAAACCCTAATTTGGCATGTTTGCGATTATATTGATTTTAGGTTTTTAGTTTTGCACCCCCCCCCCCCTTGATTTGGAGAATTTAGTGGTTGGATATTCATTTCTCATGATGGGTGCAGAAAATTTTAGAACCCTAGAAAGAATCCTACAGTTTTAGGCTTCTATGAATGCGTTTTAGAACTCTGTCAAATATTTGTGTGCCATTTTCTTTCCTTCTCAATTGATGCTGATATCTAGTTGTTGTTTGCAGGCTGTTCTACTTCTTCTTTGAATCGCGCAACAGGAAAGATGACCCTGTTGTCATCTGGTTGACTGGAGGGCCAGGGTGTAGCAGTGAGTTGGCTATGTTTTATGAAAATGGTCCTTTTACTATAGCAGATAACATGTCTCTTGTGTGGAATGAGTATGGTTGGGACCAGGTATGTTTGTATCTTCATTTTGTTAATCTTCTTTTATCCAGTTAAGATTGTTTTCTGGCAATTTTCATACTGAAACATGAAGTCATGTACTTTATATAAGCTAACTCTATATTTTTGGTGGTTGTTTGTTAAGGTTTTAGTTGGTCTAATGTTTTTATAATCCCTCCTTGACTACGGTACCACTCATATTCTGCTCATCCTTAGATATATAATATGTTGTGCTGGAGAATCCATTGATGAAAACTCTTCTAGGATTTAACAAGATTAAATTTGAAGAAACAGAAAGTTAAATGTTTTCTTGAACTTCTGAACTGAGTTTTTTGTACAATATCCACATAATTAAGGTGGAAAGTATTCTTAATTAAGCTTTATCTGATTATTTGTGCTGGTTGTTGGTCGTATTGCAGGCATCAAACCTCCTGTATGTAGACCAGCCTGTTGGAACTGGTTTTAGTTATACTTCCGACAGGCGGGACATCCGTCACAATGAAGAGGGAGTTAGTAATGACCTCTATGACTTCTTACAGGTTGGTCTCTTCATCTGTGAGTTGTTTAGATAGAGAGATTCATTTGGTAATTGGTTGTACCCTTTTGATTGCAAGTTTGAGGAAATGTTTTGTATGTGTCCTTTTAATGGGGTCTGTAAAATTTTAGGCATTCTTTGAGGAACACCCTCAGTATGCAAACAATGACTTTTACATTACCGGGGAATCATATGCTGGGCACTATATTCCTGCTTTTGCTGCTAGAGTCCACAAGGGAAACAAAGCTAAAGAAGGAGTTCATATAAATCTCAAGGTATGTCATTTTATGTAATCAATTTATTAAAATTGGATAATGCATAACTTTAACTACAACTTGGTATTCGTTTAGTTGGTTTCATTTCACTTATTTCATGTTGTAATATTGTGCCTTGAACTTGATTAGTTAGCTTGCTTATATATATGAACTAAACTCGTTTGAACAGGGGTTTGCCATTGGTAATGGGTTGACTGATCCTGCAATCCAGTATAAAGCATACACAGATTATGCTTTGGACATGGGCATAATTAAAAAATCTGACTATGATCGTATCAACAAGGTGGTTCCAGTGTGTGAAACAGCAATAAAGTTTTGTGGTAATGTTGGATTGAATCTTGTGCCTTTCTTCTTTTATATAGTCCATGCTATTTATACTTTAGTTCCATTTTTCTCAGAAGTTATAGGTATATATGTTGGTTGAAGTATTGATATTTCTTACCCTGTTGCATTAGAAGAGGTATACAGTTGAGTGACTAGAACTTGTTGACTGCTTTTCGTTTCAGGCACTGATGGTACACTTTCTTGTATGGCTTCGTATTTTGTTTGCAATACCATATTCAGTAGCATCATGGTTCTTGCTGGTGATGTAAATGTAAGAACTCAAATCTTCTTTGTTCTTGTACTCTTATTTCCAAGTCTTTTCCTTTCAAGCCAAACATATCTTGGAATGGGAAAATGTTGATCTCAATGCTTTTCCATCCTGTCAAATTATAATTATTTAAATAAAGTTTGACATGCATCATTTTGTTATGCCTGCAGTACTATGATATTCGAAAGAAATGTGAGGGGAGCCTCTGCTATGATTTCTCCAACATGGAGAAATTTCTTGGCCAGAAATCTGTTAAGGATGCTCTTGGTGTTGGGAATATAGACTTTGTGTCTTGTAGTCCTACAGTGTATCAGGCCATGCTGGTAGACTGGATGAGGAATCTTGAA